AGTTACTATATGCCATGGAAGTTTGTGGTCGCCCAGCCCTATTGTGACAATAAATAACTGATACAGTTAATGGCTACTTTTTTTTTTTTTTTAAGAACATTTCAGGCTTATTCTTTTATTCCAGAAATCCATGTTAAGACGGTGATATTTGGCTTTGGCTTCCGTGACTTTACCACCTGACCATTAAAAATTCAACCCAAAGCATGGATTCGGTGCTTCTCCGTGAGTTAAGAATGATCATCTCCAGTTTAGAACTTAAAAAACACACACGCACACAACTGAGGGTTTGGAAGATTTCCCAGGTCCAAAGCAGATCTATCTGCCTCCAGAACCATGTTCTGGAGTTATAGAGCTACATTCTCTGATACAGTCTCTGGGATGAGCTCTGGCAAGAATGGAGTTGGTCACTTACAGGAAGTCATCCTACGGCCTGATGGACAATTTATTCTGGGTAGGAAATGAAGAGGGTCCATTCCATTTGGAAACTGATATCTGTGCATGAAAGCCAATTTGATTGTCTGGGAAAAGACTCTGGATGGAAGGAAATGTTGGTAATCCCACCCCAGACCCGCACAGGTACTCAGTAAAAGTGTACTGAGTTCATGAAAGTTACTTATCAATGAAATATGCTTTGCGGCTTAAAGAAAGGAAATCTGTTCAAATTAGGATTTTATGTGGCAGTCCTCTCTATTATTCTTCTGATGCATTCACTCTAAAATTAGGAAAGAATAATTATTTGACCATATGCTTTGTTAGTCGGCCACCTTCCTCTGATTAGACTAAGCTGACATCTGAAGAAAGGTGTTGGGAATTGAAGCAGTGTGAGAAAGACACAAAGGAACAAACTCTCTTGTGAGTAAATACTTGAGGGAAAGACAGAACACTGATTGGATAGAGAAGAGGAGTGGTTCTCAAGGTGTTTCCAGGGTCAGCAGCCTCAGCATCATCGGAGAATGTGTTAGAAGTGCCGATGCTCAGGTTTTACCTCGGACCCACGGGATCAGAGCCCTGGAGAGCTTCCATAGACCTTTTAGGTGGTTCTGACGCCCACTGAACGTGAAGAACCACCAGGTAAGGGTCATTCAAAAGGAGCATTTTTCTTCCTTGTACGCTTTCAGTTTGGGTCTTGTGCACAGTCGAGAGATAGAACGGGGCAGCTCTGACACTCCCAGCTCTCTGCTCCCGGAGGAGGCCGGTGGAAGAGTTGCAGTCTCCCTGTTCCTTGCAAGGTCTGTGAACAATGAAAGCGGGCAGGGGAAAGGTAACGGGCAGAGGAGCCCAGTCCTTGTGGCCCCCTGGCTCCGCTCCAGCTTCCCTTACTCCTTAAGCTTAACCCTCTGGCTGCCCCGACAAGGTCAAAGCACCTTGTATGTCATGCAAAAAATATTTCCCAGCAAAGTGCTTTGCCTCCAGCTGTGAAATTGATTAGTGGCCACAAAATCCCTGGGGAAGCGTCTCTGCTGACAGCTGTAGTTGCTATTTGGAAACTGCAGAAGAAAGGAGTTCACGAGGGAGGACAAGATCGTGTATTAGGTACAGGAAAAAAAGTTTTAAAGTATCTTTTCCTCTCGAAGGTAAGCAATGACACACCCAGGAGGGGAAATAATTCTACTTCCTGTATTGGAGTTTTTTGTTGGAATAGCTTAATATTTAGTTGATCGTTACAAAGCTACTTCTGAAATCAGTATCAAGAAAATTAGCTTGTATGTATTTGAGAGCTGTGGAATTAGAAGATGAAAATCAGCCGGTGCACATCCTGGGAAGGCGTGCTCCTTGTGGAACACTTGGCCAGAGTGAACGGTCTCCATGTATCCAGGAACACTGTCTGAAATATGGGAAAACCAAACATGTCTTATCATGACACGTTCAACTCATTACTCAGATCTGGAAATTAAAATACATTGCTCTCCATAAAAGTGAGGTTTTTAAATTTTATTTTATTTATTTAATTTTATTTTGAGAGAGAGAGAATACAATTGGGGGAAGGGCAGAGAAAGAGGGAGAGAGAGAGAGAGAGAGAGAGAGAGAGAGAAAGAATCCCAAGCAGGCTCCATGCCACCATCACAGACCCCCTACATGAGGCTTGAACCCACCAACCTATGAGATCATGACCTGAGTCAAAACCGTGAATTGGAGGAGGCTTAACCGACTGAGCCACCCAGGCACCCCATCCATAAGAATGAGTTTTAAAGGTCCAGTTAAACTCTGCAATACTTCCTACTACCACATTTCCCCCGCTAAAGCACCTTTTGAACATATCCTAATATTCTGAAGTAGAAGAGTGCTGCTTGACACAAGAGAGAACGCATGTCCAGGCCTCAGCTACTGCACTGGGAGTCAGTTACATGAAACCGACTAATACCAATTTATGGGCCCAGATATTTTATTTTCAGTTAATACATAGCCAGTTAGATTTTTACACAGTGCAGGGGACAGAGGTAAAACCAAGATTCATAATAGGAAAATATATAAACTATGCAAAAAAAAAACCCCCAACAAATACAGGTATCCTAGGTGGAAAAGTTACAAAGCATCACATGGCAGCTAAGTGTTTTCTTCACAAATTACTTGACTGGGCCAAGAGTGGGGGAAAGAAAAAGTGTCTCTCACGCCCCCTGGTGTCTTCTGGTGGGACTTGCAGCGTTCCAAAGCTCTTCGACAATTCCTATCAGAGTGAACAAATTCTAATTCCCTGTTTTTATTTATAAGAGACTTTATTAATTATAAAAATAATTGAAATATCTATCTAAATATGAGAGACAGGAAAGTCTGGTGTTTGCTGATGACTGTCAGTGATTTTACCATAAAATGGGGCTAATCAAGAATGCTAAGAGCATGAGGTCATGACCAGATGGCTGCCGTCAGTGAACACATGTCTGAACTAATTACCAGGAGGGGACAGGGACAAAGACCAAGTGCCTATAAAAAGCAGTAGAGCTTGGTGAGCCAAGGGACCAAATTAAGGAGGTAAATCAGGAGGACAGGAGAACCAGAGTTAGGACTTTTGTGGAAAGCACAAATACAGACTAGACCATGGGAGGAAGAAAACCCTGAATGGATTGGAATTTTGAACGTCGCTCCAATCTAGTTTAGATCCCACGTAGGCAATCAAGTAAGTATCAATCAAAACAAACAAAAAGAGGCCATTAAGGGGCAAAAAAAGAAGAAGAAATCCCATTTCAGAGGAATAATCAAAACAATGTTATCAAACCAGTAAAGAACGTGGTTTATAAACATTTGCTCTTACCGCTTGTACTAGAAGCTTCAGAAATTTGTTTAGAATTTTACAATATCTAAAGAAAATGAACAAATTAAGGACCAGACAATGGATTTTGGAAACACATTTTTCATGTAGGTGATTTTTGGCTGGAGGAGGAAATAGGATACATGACTCAGTGACTCTACTGGTTTACTGTTGCCTTGAAAGCCAGATCTCCTGGCTTTCAATTTTCCTGGAAATTCGAAAGGTAAGAATGCCCTTTTCGAGTTTTTCAGCATCGAAGTCTCTGGGAAACGGGTTTCTATGGCATGGCTATCTACACTCACAGCTCAGCAAGATCTGGACTTCTATCTAAACAGCCGGTTAAACTGGCAAAAAGCGAAACACATGAACGTGTGATCAGTTTGTGGGTCTGTGTTTTAAGTCTCCGTGTGCGCTGTCTGCGTATATCGATAAAACCCAAAGGAGGGCCCCTATGGGCGCCGGTGTGCATTCCTAGCGTGCAGAAAAATCACCTGGAGACCTTGAATAAACACAGATCCGGGCTGGGGAGAGTCAACTGGTGACTGAGCGTCTGATGCAGGAGATCTGGGGTGGGGCTAAGAATTTGGGTTGCTGACAAGTTCCCCGGTAACACCGGAGCCCGCACTGAAAACTGCTGCTGCGGGCGTGTGGAGCTTTCGAGGCGCTAGTTGGGTGGGTGAGGAAGAAGGCTGGATGTGTCCAGAACATTCCCGGAGACGCTCCGAGGCAACCCTCTGCACAGAGCTGACCCATCCCCAGGCCTCCAGGAGCAAACGGTTTGTTAACGGGGTTCTCAGGCACTCTCCACTCCGTAGCGGATTAAAATGCACGGGCAGGCGTGGCTCACACGCCTAAGCACACGCGGGGGCCAAACTCCCCGGCTCATCCCCGGCGCCCCACTGTGGATGTTCTCTGCAGGGATGCAAGGAGGGTGCAGAGCGAGGGCGCCTCCCCGGCTGCGGGCAACCCTGCCCTTCTCCTTCCCACCTGCGTTCCGCCCCTCCCCTTCCCTCCCGCCTCGCGTCCCACCGAACCCCGCCGGGCCCCGCTCCCTCTCCCACCCGCACGTGCGCCGCGTCCAAGCCCTGCCCCCCCCCCCCCCCCCCCCGGCTCTGCCCCGCCCGGGCCTCGCGCTGCCCTCCCCTGCCCACCTGCGCCCCGGCGGCTCCGCCCGAGCCCCGCCCCCGGC